TGTCTGGAAGAGAATCCCAATTGTTGGCTGCTCTCGTCGGTGATTTTCCGTGGTTCCTGCGATCACCTACAGCTGGCAAGCAATCACCATCAGCTTCTGAGATAAGACATTCCCTGTACTAACGGTACTCTTAGCCAGATGACGGGCCCCCACAACTCGATCATTTAAATGCAACAATCAACTATATGTCAACAGAACAATTATAGTCCTTCAATATGAGCTGCAGGTGGTTCTACAAGACCACAATCTTCTACTAGAGCGATGCGCTTAAAACACGCCTACAGCAATAGAACACGATTGACTGCAAAGTAAAATACTATTATAAAGCTTTTATACCTCTATCGACTGATTTTCATATTTCACAAACCACTGGGTTTTATTCTCCTTCTATTTCTTTTATTCGTAATCACGGTATTAATGACGTCTTCGAAGATTTTGATTTTTATTCTAACCAATATCCCAATATCCTATCAATTAAGAAGTACCCAGATTAAGCAAATTTTTATTCAAAATAATCATTTTTATCAACTTAAAATAAAAAATTCGATTGTCTCATAAAATATATATCTTACTTCAAAATTGAATGTAATCGATATTAATTAACATTCCAGTGTTGCAGTTCCTCTTGCATATCCTACGTTTTTTGTGAGAACATTTGACGAAAATAATGTATTGTAAATTGATTGAATTATTAAGGAATAAATAAATTACGAAAATGAGAATAATGAGTGTATTTTTTATAAAACACAATTTTCACTTTCTCCCTGTAAAGAGAAAGTTCTGTAATGCTGTACGAAAAAATGGCGAATTTTCCGCAGAAAAACTCTTATTGCACTGCCTCGTAACGAAAAGTAGATAAATCCAGTTGCTAAATTTAGAAAAAAATCCTCAATCGCGTTATTTAGCCAGAATCTATGTGATATGCGTATTTGAAAAATCGAATGATGGCAAAATGCCTGTCCGTCCGTCCGTTCGTCCGTCTGTGACCAACTCTTTTCTCGAAAACTGATATTCTCCAATACACCTGACTGATGTCGCGGCCCCTTGAATATCAAACCGGCATTTCAAATTGGGGGAAGGGCTGCTTTACATGAAGCCCCTGGGATACCTTCCAAATTTAAAAAAATGGCTCCATCGCAATTGATTAAATTTTGTTGTTGGATACTGTGAGGACTTTTAAGAGAATGGTGCATGACTCAAATTCAATTTTTGCGGCGATTTCCTGCAACTACATATTGAGGAGAGATTTTTGCCTTAAGCAATACTTATTATAAAAAATTAGCTCTTTAAAAAAGGATACAATCTTTGTGGATAGCGAGTTTTTTGGCGTAATGTGCAATTTATGCAATTGAATTTTTTTTAACTGCTCTAATTTTTTTCTTAAAATTTCTTCCTAAGATAAAGTAAGGGACGCTTAAAACAATTGAGAAGGTCCCATTTTCGTTTAACTCTCCGGACTATCGAAAATTGTGTGTTGAATATAATGGAAGAGACAATTACATTTTTAAACGTCAGCCCAAGTACGTACGGAAGAGCGACTGCGTGGTGAGCGGTAAATTGCACAGCCAGTTCACTCCAGAGACCTGCGTTCGAGTATCGACGTGAGAAAAAATTGCGCTGGTTGAAAACACTTTAGCAGGTTCATGTAGTAGTATACTATTAAGGAGTCGTTACAAATAATGTGAGAAAGTGTGTGTTGTAGCACTACTAGTTTCTTATTGATACCTGTTCTCAAACACATTATCTTTTAATGAAGTCATGTACAATTTTCCAAAAGAATGAGACGTTTTTGCGTATTTCTTATTGAAGTAAAAGCTATTTATAAAAAAGGGTTTTCCTAAAAAATCGCTCCATTTTTTTTTTACAATCTCTCCTCGGATAGAACAAACAACGCTTAAAAAACAGCACAGGTGAAATATTGGTTGAATTCTCTGAAATTTCGAAAATTACGAAAGTTACAAATGATGCGAAGACGTTAGTTGCCTTGGCGCTGCGCCTCCTACTTCTCCCTGAGATTCGCGTCGCGTCGCCACCTCTTCGGCTGCGCGGCCTCGGGCGGCGATCGATGGCCGCGGGCGGAGGCGACAATTGCTGCTTGACCAGCGCCTGCGCAGCGCCTCAGCAGACAACACGCAGCGACACCACCAACAACAGCTGACCCCTTGCTGCCTCGCTGCCACCCACGTGCGCCGGCTCAGGCCACCGACTCATGACACTGCGGCGCCTGTCACTGGGAAGTCCTAGGGCTCCACTTCCCACGGGGGCAGCGTTTTCGACACAACATAGCGACGTCGAATTCACCAGCAGTCTGGAGTAGAAGTCTAACGGCCAATTCCTCTTAAGTAGGGTGGCGTGGTTTCTCCTATCAACACCAGGCGAATGCTGGAGCAATTCCCTAACAAACGAGCCACGGATTGCGTGCATTTTTCCTTCCTCTTCCTTATCCTATCCTCGCCTCTTACCTACATTTACATTTACGAGAACTACACTATCGTATATGGCGTGAACCTAGAGCTTGTCTCGCCTTAGATGGTGCCCCGCTGGTGAGAAAGACAACCCGGTTAGAGAAAACCCAGTTAGCCAACATAGAGGTCGGCGCCAGATCTCGCCATCCAATGTGGTGGATATCATCCTCTCCTCTCGCACTACACTGACGAGAGCTTAGTAGTCGACGCGGCCGAAAACATCAAATAATCGATTGAAGATGTGCGGTCGGGGAGATGCGAGAACGAGGCGAAGTGTAACGTTTCACGGACCGCTACTCTAATCGATAGAACGTATTCGCTTCCCTTCACCAATTAACCAGTCAAAAACCACTTCGTTTTTAGCACTTACATACAATTCATGTAATTCATTATTTGTAACTTTGCATTATACGCTTGCTCATAAATATCCCATTTTTCACTGAAGCTTCTTTTCGAATACTTTTTTCCAAAAAATTAAAGAAATAATAATTTAACTGGAACTTGATAAACCTCTTAAGTCTCGAAGTTTTAAAAAAAAACTTTTATTGCATATTCCCCCGCGCCGCCCCGCGCCCTCTGTTTACTGAAGCAGCTGCGGCCTTGCGAGCTCTGAACGGCGGCCGGCGATGAAAGCTCGCACCCCCTCCCCACCACTCCCACTCACGATTCTACCCCGCTCCCGCCCCCGCTTCGACCGTCGCCGCCAGAGCTGGCACCATTGGCGACGATGCTCACAAGCCACTACCTTCAAATTCCCACAATTTCCACCATTACCCAAGCAATTTGATCACCTCTGTGTGATCGTTGAGATGTGCACTTCTTTTTACTGTAACATCACTGAGCGGATAAGTCTTGAAAGGTGGATTCGGTACCAATATTGATTATTGGGGCCCCGCTGCCCCGGATATTCGTAAAGGAGGAACAAGAATCCGCAAAATGCAGGATTTGTTATGTAAATTCAGAGAACACTGTATTGATCTAAGCAGAGCTCTAAAATTCTCTTTCTTCTTCTTCTTCTTCTTCTTCTTCTTCATCGTTTCCTCTTTTTGTTATTACTATTATTATCATTACATTATATTGTTATTATTATTATTATTTTCGTCCTTGCTTTTCCACCCTCTCCTCTTCTCCGTCCCCTCCTGATATGATAATTGTATGATAGTTGCGGGGATCCATGCAACAGGAAAGCGAATTGTGCATAAATGTCAAGCAGAGTGCCTACAAAAGTTATTGACAGGCGTAAGCGATTCGCGTTGCTAGACAACTGTATTAAGCGATATCGTTATCAATATTTATTTAATAACTATACATTTATTTTCATTCGTTTAATAACCCTTCTAAACACCTTTCATGCTTTGAAAATTAAACACAGCTTCTAGAGGGAAGCCTAGCAAAAGCGCGCAAAATATCACGACGAATGCGTGCTTTGCACCAAAATATGTTTCCTGAGTGATTTCTAGCAAACAACCAAGTTTTGAAATATGTTTATATAGACCATATGTTATTATTTTATTTCATTTTGGTTTTTTATTAAATTCGGTTTTGCAATATAATATTGTTAAAGGCCTAGAAATGCATTCGAATGGAAAATTCTTTGCATGTTTTTAGTTTTGGTTGACTATGAGTATGTTATTAATTGTTTATAGCAATAATGTGAAATAATTTAACAAATATGTATGTAATTGGTGTAAATCCTCTAGCAAAACTCTTAGATTTAATAAATCACTCTAAAAGGTGGACAGATCTGTTAACAATCTTTATTCGTGACCTAAACGTAGAAAGTTAATGTGCACCCTTAAGTAAATGTGGTTATAAAATCAAGATCCTTTCGATTGAAAATGTTTAACTTTACTCTCAATTGATACGTTCAAATATTACTGACGTATGTTTTAATTGAAAAAAAAATTAGTAGAGAAAATTATAGTTAATACATTTAAATTTGGGTCAAGTGAATTCTCCAAAGGCAGTTCTGAGCCACGTATCAACAGATATAATTTTTAAATGTCACGGTAGTTGTTCTGGCCGCAATTTCCGCTTACTCTAGATAGCCTTGCTCGCGACCTTGATAAGCCTTTCTAAACGTCAATTTATTTATGTCATTTGACGTTTAATCAGTTGTTATGGAGACATCCAATCGGGAGCTTAAACGTCACCAAACTGACGTCACTGCAGTGACATTCAAGCTCCCAATTGGATGACCGTAACAACTGACTTACGTCACGTGCCACTACAAATAAATCGAAGTTTAGGAGATTATACCGCGAGTTATACAATTTAGTGACATTATGGTGACGTTTAAGCTCCCGGTTGGATGGAACTGTAAGTTCCATCCAACCGGGAGCTTAAAAGCCACCACCATAATGACCATAATGACGTCACTAAATTGTATAACTGCAGCTAATAACTGCGAGAGACTGAGTTGCGAAAATCGCAGTAAAGTTGGGGCTCTGAATTCGCGGACATTGCGGTCCCCAGCCGGGGGCGAACGGGCGCCCAGGGGGCCTTGTCTGACGGCGGCGGCGTGTATGTGCGCAGGTGATCATGGGCGACCGGCCGGCGGCGGAGCGCGCCTGCAAGGACCCCAACCCCATCATCGACGGGCGCAAGGCCAACGTCAACCTGGCCATCCTGGGCGCCAAGCCGCGCGGAAACGTCCAGCCAGGTGAGTCGCCCCGGCCTCTGCGAGGCGCAAAGCGATGGCAAGTAGCCTAAATAAGATTCGGAGAGTGCAAATTAATTCTGTACGCTGGACCCTACACGACGTGTATAAGCGCGTTCAGAGAAGATGCGACGGGGGAAGCGCAACTGCCTCCCCCTCCCTCTCCTTCCCTTCCCGTCCTCTATCCCTCCCCCTCTGACCAACCCTCTCCCCCCTCTCGCCCCAGCCTCCCGTCCTCCTCCTCCGCGTCTCCCCCTCAGGCAGCATTGCCGCCGATGCCCGAGCGCCTCTGCGCGGGAAGTCTAGGGAGCTAGGGCGAATGCGGCGGCTGCCTGCCCTGGTCGGGAGTTTTCCATAACTGCGGTACGTAGGGTGATGGAGCACAACACCAGCAGTTGGACGATGGACCGCGCGCAAACATTCCTTTCTGTACCTCGTCCTAGTCTGTCCCCTTTTACACACAGACACACACACATGCGCTACACCATCACACACGTCAAGAGACAAATCGGAAGCTCAGATTTAGTTCTGGCTGGGGGAGACAACTCAGGAAGAGCTTCCCTGCCGGCCCATCTACAGGTCAGCGACGAATCTCACCACTGAGAGACCGCAAAGGCATCTCTGCCCTCTACGGGAAATCTTGCACTACACGAACGGGAATAATGACCTAGCTATTGACGTGTTCGGAAATTAATCCTCCCCCAATGCCCTGCAGATCTCAGCCAGAGGAATCGAATTGCGGTGGGAGGAAGCTGGGCCACGCCCCCTCCCGAGTTCATAACGAGGGAGGGGAAGCGAAACCAGCTGCCAACCACGGAAGCTTCATCACGGAAGCTCATAAACACGCACCTCCTTCCGTAATATCAATAACAGTATATACCCGTGCGTGGTGTACCACTCCACACATCAATCTTCTTCTACCTGGAGGATTGCTCCCTGGGGTGGCACCTAAGCTTACCCCTTAATCAGCACCCCCGTCGGCGCACAAGTACGGTGACAGGCTGGTATCTGGATCCCGCCACAACTCGTACCTCTCTTGGGGACCTTCCCATTTAAGTTTGGAATTGGGCCGTTTTGCCTGCTCAGAGCTTTCTAGGATAGCTTTCCAGGAGAGTGCGGAAATCGAATTAAGCGTCACTCACAACGCACGGGGTCGATCAATAACATCCAGAAAAGAGTTTTATCTCAGTCTCCGCCATAGCATAACTCCAACTCCTCCCTAAACAAATCTCGAGCCATGTAGGATTTTGCGCGCGAATCCCAACAAAGCAGTCAAAATATGCTTGAGTCCTTAGGCATCATTCGATATTCTGAGAAAAAGACGTTTCTCCCCTTTGGTGTGATTTATTGGTGTCAGATCTCGATTACGGAATGTGAACTGCAGTTACGCCGCGTTCGACGAAGTAGTGCTCTTGGCTGCGCGTCGCTTGGGATGGAATATGTGATTCTGACGTTGTCCATCGCGACGGTCGAGTTTGCTCGTAGGCGCGCTACAGTCTGCAAGAATTCACAATTGCCTCGCGCATCTTCGCGAACGCTGACCATGCCTTTTCGTGCTTCAGGACAGTGTGTCACGCCACTTGGAAAACGTTCGCGATCCAGTGCCCACAAGGGGCGCCTATAATTCGATTTTTTATATAGTGGCCGATGACATTAGGTCATTGTTACAATAAATCTGTTAAATTAATTCGCGAACGTCCTTCTCGACGGGGCTCGTGGCGTCAGAAATGTGTCTACCACTGTTAAAAAGGTTCATTTTATGTCAGGAGGTGTAACAATGATCTAATGCCATCGGCCACCAGCAGAAAAATCGAAGTATATCGCTCTGGCCTGCGCCTGCCCCCCCCTCTCTCGTCGCTGCGTTGGGCCCCGTCGAGCGAACAGAGCAGAGAGGCTGAACCGTCCCCTTCACTCCCAGCCACGCGTCGCCTGGACCACGTCAGGCGAGGGGGAGGCGCAGAGCGAGAGTTTGGACGAGTACGCGTCGTGCCGTCCTTTTGTAGTTCAGCTCAAAAATTCCTAAAAGATTGGCGTAGTCTGAAGATATATGTATCCTGTTACTTGTATACCTTAATCGCTTCTTTGAGGAATAGAAATGAATAGGTTCTCTTTTTAGTTTGATGTGTCTGCGGCTGACAGGCAAAAATGTAATGTCCGTAATGTTTTAAAAATGAGATCATTAAATAAGATCTGGAATATTTTTTCGAAAAATTTATTCGGAATTATAATATTTCGGAATGGTGTGCAGAAATAATTTTAATTCTCAGTTAGCATTTATTTTGGAGTTAAAAAGGAAAACAACTTATAAAATGAATGAGTTTCTCTGAACCGGAATTTCCACAAAGAAGGTGCGCCGGAGAACCAATGGAAAACGCGGAATGAGATCGACGCTTGTCATTCCTGTCTCCTTTTATCAGCGCGTATGCACTCGCCACTCGGCGGCGACTCAGAAACCAAATACGAGGAAGTGCTAATAAAACACTCACAGGAAACTCGAGCGCTCCTTGCAGCTCTAACAGGTGCTCGCTCCCTCCCTGCGCGCGCGCGTGCAAATCTGTCTGCGCTTCGCTTCCTGCGGGGGGGGAGGGGGAAGCGGGGAGGGGAGCGGCGCGTGGCGTGGCGTCGGAGGGGCCGGGCGCCCCCCTTCGACCCTTCCGCTCAGGAAGGGCTCGTTAGTACCTGGACTCACCGCCCTTCACTCCCAGCCGCAAACACTTCCCCTCCCTCGCCTCCCCCCACCAACGCTTCCTCCCCCTCGCGCGCGCGCTTTTGTTCCGTTTCCGGCGACGCTCGCTTTTTTCTGCAACGAAAATGACACATCTTCATCGTTACAGACATTATTGATGCCTACTATAATTTTGTTATCTTTATTGCAATACTTTTAACAACATTATGACGTATATTAGATTAATATTTTTAACTGTTTTGCACCTATCCTTTCTAAAGAAATTTTATTCATTCTCAGGCGAAGGGGGGGGGGCAACGGCGAACCACTCAATAGATTGCGGAAGAATTAAAGGGGAAAATATATATTTAAGAATTAATGATACAGTAATAACATATTACAATTTTTCTGCAACTTTGTGGTGTTAAAATATTTCCAGTTTTGAACTGTTTATATTGTTTCGTAAACATCTGATAAGCGTTGAAAGGGAAAACTATTAGTAAGAGTTGAGGAAGGTTTTAACTCGAAGTAATGGTAATGAAAGTCCTAAACTAAGAACTAACTCCTTGCGTAAATAAATGTAGACGGAAAAAGCTACGTTGAGAACAACCGTTGGCCCCTCCCTTTAGTAATTAAACATGTCGAGCACAGTATAATGATGGCACTCATCTTCTTAAGGTTTCTCCACACATTCGATATTCGCCGAGCAGCGAGTAACTGCTCGCCCAATCCGGATCAGCTGATGTGTTCAGTGAATGTTCGCTCCCTTTGATGTGTCCAAAACACACACAGCACCGAACGTTCGTCGCTCAGAAAATAGCAAGCATCCCATCCACAGTACTCGGGATTCGACGAGCGGTGGCTCGCCGATTATAAAATGAGTGGAGCCTTTAAGGCTGCTCCACACGAGCGATATTCGACGAATCCCGAGTAGTGTGGATGGGATGCTTGCTATTTGCTGAGCGACGAACGTTCGGTGCTTGTCCTACCCCGCGTGTCGGCCTTTAGAACACATCAAAGGGAGCGAACATTCGCCGAACACATCAGCTGTACGGGATTGGGCGAGCGGGAGTGGCTTGCACGGCGAATGCCGAATGTGTGGAACCGCCTTTAGATGAGGGCATCAGGCGCGCGGGGTGGGGGCACTGCGGGCGGAAGTTGACGGTTCGCTTTCGGAATGTGATGTTTGCGGTATAACGCTTAGCGTATTGGGCTGTTATACCAAATTCGCGGCTTGAAACCCACCGTGGATTTTCGAGCCGTGGATTTTAAAGGTGAAAAATTCCTTCGCCCACCTTCCTTTACAGAGGATGGAAAGCCGGCTGTGCTATGTTGTAGATTTACTGCGTAGGAAAATCCCTCAAGTCTAAAAGATATCTCTGAGTTTAGTTTAAATCTCCTGTTTCGTCGCCCGACTGATTCTTTCTCCGCTAGATTGTGAAAGGAGCGGTGTGAAATTTGCGTGTTGAGGCGGAAGAGCAGGCCTGATGGCCTGAGCCTCACAACGTAAAATAAGGCATCATTGAACTGAACTGTGGAAGACATGCTGTTCAGAGGAGCAGCCGATTGCATCGCCCGGTCAAGATTCCCCCACATCCGGCTTCCAGTAAATCCTCCTTCACTTTTGGCTTCGTGACAAGGCACAGTTCGATTGCAGGAGTTTAAGGACGGAAAGCAAACAATTAGTGAAGTTTCCATTCAATAGAAATGCAAGCAGCTGCTCACGCCTGTCGACAAAAACCTTGAACGCATGTGAACGGGACAGATTCTTCCGAACTGTGTACGTAATCTAACTAAAATATAATTATTTTCTCTACAATACTGCGTATAATCCTGTTTTATATTTAGTCGAAGAATGACATCGATTCCGGGAATTCTAATTTGGAAATCACGGCCTGTTGACAATCATGATCCGAGAAATTTCAGAATTCACGGGTAGAATTGCTTTCTCATTGCATTTCATGCTTCTTTTGAACATTCAGTAAAATATTTCTCAGTTTTCAGTAAGTCATTTTAAGATCACGAACTGAAAAAAGAGAGGGGCACTGTGATTAAATCGAGAGCTTCAATACCAAAAATTTAAGTTGTTACCAAGTTCGCAATTGAATGACTGTGTCCCCCTCTCCTGCCAGCTTGTGACTTTGAAGGAACTAATTTTTTTTAATCGTGATATATTTCGGCCTCATCATCCCTCAAGTTATACCTCACCATCAGGGCCGGCGAAAGAGGTGAGTACGGTGGATTGTACTACCCATGCAAAAATATTCCAACTGTGTAGTTACATTCCTGGTATTTTGACAAGAATTGCAAACAAATTTCCAATTTAACACATATATTA